TGAAGAGGGAGCTGAGACTGAAGACGAAGCTTTCAATTTACCAGTCGATCTCTGTTCCGGTCCTCACCTGCCTCGCACCGCCCTGACACAATCACTCTTCACATGCAGCCTCTGAAGGATTAGACCTCTGAACTGGGACACAGCTATTGTGTTCCTGCAAAGTGAATTTCCTACAGGATTATAATGAGGTTGAAGCTGCTCAGATGGTGATTCCCTGTCAGATCATTATCAGCCAATCAGAAGTTTCTGCACCTGTCACATCAGTATAATCTTCTTCTTCTCCTGTTAAATTGGAGCATAAAGAGTTAATCTCTCTCTCTCTTCTCTCTCTCTCACTCACTCACACACACACACACACACACACCAGCATCTCATTCATAACTGAGGACATCAAAGACTCCTCCTCATCCTGTAATCCTCACTGCTGCTAATCCCTCTGTCTTCTCTCCTCTTCTCTTCTCTCTTCTTTTATTTCCATTCAGGAGGATCCTCTCTCTGTCTCTATGGTCTCTCAGTCTCTGTCTCCCCTCTCTCTGCTTTGTCTTTTTTCTTCACCTGTCCCACTCTTCATGTCTCTGCAGCGTTGTGGTTTTGATATTTTGTGATATGTGTCATTCCACTTGTGGTCTGAATAAATCTCACTAACATTATGTTTGATATCCTCCCAAGCATCAGAGCAACAGCCAGTCTGACAGTGCTTGAATATAAGAGTATGTGCAGTGGCTGCTGGTAGTTTTCCTCTCCACTGTCACAGAGTGCTGCTCCTGGTGGGGCTGCTGGTTTATCATTGTAATACTCTGAGATCCTGACCTGACTCTGGTGCCTTGATTTGTAAATTTATAAATACAATTGAATTGAGTTTGATAAATTGAGACCAAATCCCAGAAATATTTCCCCAAATCTGCAGGGAACCTCCACCAGGTTCACTGTTGCCTGCAGACCCTGGTTCTCGTAAAGATCACCTCTGATCCGTCCTCTCAGACTGTAGATGGTGGACCAGGGTCCTGCTGGTCAGTTCTGAGCTGATGGTTCAGCTGGACATCTCGTTTCAGAGAGAGGTTAGAGTGATTCTCTCAGTCTCCTTGTCCAGCTGCTGTGTTCTGGTCCTCAGCCTCACTTGGTTCTGGTTCTTGGACCACACATCTGGAAACAGCTGTCTGCTGAGAACCTCCAGCCTGCGAGATACGCTGCTGATGCAGGACGACCACTTTGTGTCTTGTTGCCATGGCGTCAGGTGTTTAGATGAAACTGTCTTTTCTTCTGCAGCCTCACCCTCTCAGTCCTCACTCAGGTTTATTCCTCTCCAGCTGCTCATTTCTCTTCAGTGTTTAGTTCAACCTGATGTTACTGTTCATGAGTTTGGTTAAATTGTTTAATCGTGTCCCGGGTTCTTTATTTGCAAAGTGTCTGTTTGTTTCTTTAACAGCAGACAGATATCTGACTGGAATATTTGTTTAATTTCCTTCTGACCCACAAAAGCATCAGATATAAAACCTCTCAGTTATGTTTCTGTCTCTGGACCAGTTGAGATTTTGATGTGGTCCACGTCACTTATTCTCCTCCATGTTGAATTTAACTCCTCTGCTCTGTCTCTGTGTCCTCAGACAGTGTGAAGCAGGTCAACGGCTGCGTTCAGGAGCAATGTGTAACTGATTTTTTGCTGTCAGACGTCCACAGGAAGTCTTTTAATTGGGAAGCCTGTTTCCATATCTCTTTCATTGTCTCCTTTCCTTTCCTTTCCTTTCCTTTCCGTTCCTTTCCTTTCCTTTCCTTTCCTTTCCTTTCCTTTCATCTTACCTCCCCTCTGCTGCTCCATCTTTCTCTCCTCTCCAAAGTCCATTCTTTCTTTCTTTCTTTCTCCTCATGGCTTTATTTCCCTAATCGTTTTATCCATGCACCATGACTCAAACGCAGACACGCACACGCGCGCGCGCGCGCACTCCAGCAGAAGGACACATTACCCCCTGCATGAACCGACTCAGCTCTGCCAGGATCAGGGGGGCTGCACAGCACTGATAACAACACACACACACACACACACACACACACAGGAGGGTTTCGTCGTCTGGTTTAATGTTGCAGCTGATCGATGAGTCTGAAATATAATTCTGTTGAATAAACGACAGTTAAAAGACAGAATCCAACAATAAGAGGGAGAGGAGCGTGAAACATGGCCGACTGCTGCAGCTGAACATCCATTTGTCCAAAAAAATGACAAGTGAAATAAAGAAGGTGAAACCTGAAAGACTTGAGGGGACTGAAGTCTCGTGGCTCTTCAGCATGTGTGCAGATGTCAGTGCATCAAACACACTTCAGCAACACTAAGAGTGTAAAGTGCGGTTAGCATCCTCAGGCTGCAGAGTTCATTATGATGGTTTAACTGTTGTGAGAGTCTTATTAGTGATGGAACTAAAAGCGTCCAGAGGGTGGCACTAAAGAAAAGATCATCATGATGTCTGATGCATCAAAAAACTGGGCCCAACGACCCAAATGTAAAAATTATGACACACAGCATTCACAGGCCAAGGCAGCTTCACAATAAATCATATGTCAAGCTCTTTATTCAGCCACCAGGGATAGCTTTTAATGCTAACAATGTAAAATGCTAATAATAGAGTGAGAGAAGAAGAAAGAAGAAATTAAGACAACATAAAAACTGAGAAACAGGGAGATAAAAAAAAGAAGTTCACAAGTCTTTCATTGTCACATGTGAAGAAATAGTGAAGTTCTGAAATGAAGGAGGGAGGGGTTGTTTTTCTGTCTTCATGGGGTCTGATGGTGTCTAGTGTGTATTGACTTCTTTCTCTGCTGCCTCCAGCAGGTCTTCACTGATACTGCACCGTGCAGAAAGTGTCTATCAGAAATAATAATTTTGGACCTGATCCAAAAGAGATTTGTTGAAAATACACCTGCAGAACAGAACCTGCAATAATTAATACTCAAAAAACAGAAACCTGATCTGAGGGAGACCAAGAGCAGCCAGACCCAACCTGAATAGACCTAAGGGTAATTAGACCCGTTTCAAAATGCAGTTGACCTGAACAGACCTGAACAATGAGAGAACACAGCAGCATGATGCTCCATAAATTGATTTAATCAATTAACAAACAGCCGCAGTGGAAAAGAGCAGCTCAATTTCTGTTGCTTATGCTGCTTAACAGTGAGGAAGAAAAGACTGTCGAAGCAAATTTCTACCAACCGTCAAAGATCTGAGGATTATCCACAATGTGCAAATGTCCAAAAAATGCTACTCCGCCCTCTTTGTCAGCGGGACACGCCCACAGAAATGACAACTATAGATCCAACAGCTGGCAGTCAAGTAATAACCTGCTGTAGCCACAAGAGGGCAGTAAATTATATGATGAATGCAACCAGGCCTCAGGTCCTCAGTGGGACAGAAGGCTGTTCTGAGATCAGATGTGAGAAGAGGTATCACTTCCAGTCTGTTTTTAGGTTTAACTGGTCAAACACTGCTTGTCTTGGTTGTCCTGACAGCACACCACTCTTTCAAAGACAAATTAATATGAACCATGTAAAGTCCTGTTTCCACCTATTGCACCAACAGTAAAACATCCTGCAGCCAACTGATTGATTGATTGACAAGAGACCACGTTCTAACCTGTTAAATATCTGTCAGTCAAATTCCAGTTTAACAGCAGAAATCCTGAAGGCGTCTGATTTTCCTAAAATAAGCTCAATGTCAGTTCCTTCATCAGAACAAAGATCACTGAGCTGTGAGTTCACAGTTCTCATTCTTCTTCTCACTCAGAACTGACACCACGTGTGTTCAGGTCCATTCAGATCCACTCTGGTACTAGATATATTGACACATGACAGTTAAACCAGAACCTACCTGGTATGACCCCATCACATCAGTGAGACTCACTGTGTCACACAGGCACAAAGTATCTGTTGCTTTACGGTGTACCTGTTTGTTCTCTCTGTTCTTCAACATCACTGATATTAAAATCTATTTTTACATATTTACTGACGATGACTCTGTATTTATATTTCACCTCTTGCTCTACTTTCTTTTATCTTTTAACTTGATGTGTTGATGTGTTGTGTTCAGTTTCCCTCAGAGATCAATAAAGTTCTATCTACTCTCTAATCTGCCTGTACATGCTTAATAATTTACTGTGGGAGCACAACAGAGAGAGAGAGGGAGAGAGAGCAGACTGTGGTTTTGGTTTGTGGAAAAACAGTCAGAGTGAGACATCCTTCTTCTCTTCCTCTTCTATGTCTCCACTCACAGTTCAGTTAAAGCACAGAGAAAGTTTTTTTGCGGACAGTGTTTCCCCCTGCTGGTCAACTGAGGGGAACTGTGAAGATAGATAGATAGATAGATAGATAGATAGATAGATAGATAGATAGATAGATAGATAGATAGATATTAGAAGTTATTAGTTACCAAACAATCATAAATGATTCTAGCTTTGTTTTAAAAATGTACATTTATCATCAATCTCAGGAAATATTTAAATTATATTGATTTATAAATTATATCGAAGTCTTACTATTTAAGAAAATGCTATGGAAAATATGATCTCAATTTCCTGTGTTTTATTTTAATAGATTAATAGTTAAGAAGATAGATTAATACAAGACATAGATATAATTCCTGCTGGATCTTGATTTATCTCCTTTTTTTTATTATTATTATTTCTTCTATGCTTATCATAAAATATTGATGTATTTGATGTTATACTGATGTTATTATTTAATTTTAACTCACACATACACACCCAAAATAAACCTTTTGGATTGAATTATTTTATCTATTTATTTGCTTCTTGCTCGCTACATGAAGTTCTATACACTTTTTTTACTATTTGCATTTACTCTGAATTCATTGTAAATTGTGAGTGTTCGTATTCGTGTCAATAAAGCTATTTGAATTCGAATGTATGTGATTTTGTGACGTAATGAGCTGTACGTCAGGGACTCTCCCCTCTTTCTCGGTATATCCAATCACGTGTTGGGATCGAGATGAGGTGGCATTAAACGCCGGAAGACGAAAGTGTTTATAACACGAAGCTAAGCTAACAGGCTAGCTTACTTGACAGAGTAGCGTCTGTTTCCTTCGCCACCGTATTTCTCCGAGTTTGTGGAGTTTCTCAGGTGAGTCCCAACCTGCCAAATGATTAGTGTTTTATTTTATAATAGCCTGCTGAAGGAAACGCCTGCTAACTGCTGTTAGCATGCTAACAACAATTAGTTCGTAAGTGTGGAAACTTAAAACTCGGCGACACAAACTCAAATAGTTTGTACAACTGTAGGACTCAGACTCGGGGATACACACAATGTTAAACAATTATATCTGAATAAAAACAATACACGTTTCCAGCACGTAGATGTATCTAGCAACACATTAGCATGTTAGCTTAAATTGTTATCACATTCAAGCTAATAGACAGGACCTTAACCCGACGTTATGAGGCACACCCTGTTCTCAATAAAACTCCTGCTTCTAAGTTTTAAGTTGGCTAATTAACAACGGTTCATCAGCCCACCTTTCAGCAGATACACTCAACTTTAATAGGAACAGTTCGGCCTACTTTCTAATCGTCTCACCGTGTCACTAAATGGTTCAGATTTTAAATGAAGTCTGGTTGTCTTATCAGAAAACGGTGTTTTCAGGTTATTGAGCGTGAAGCTTTCATTAGCCTGTTGGCTGTACCTGGACTGTTCATTTAAATCTCTGAGGTAGTAAATAGCAAATCTCTAACCTCTTCTAGCGAAAATATAATTTTCTTTAACTACAGAGTTAAACAGTTGTGACGGACTAAATCCTTTAACTGTCGCAATCAAATATTAGCATGCTGCCTCACTCTTTTTATGTTTGAAAAGAAACAGTGATAATAAACTGTAGTGTGCTTCTGTGCTGTGTGTTAGCAGGAGCTACAGCCTTGTTGCAGCACTGCGTGACACAGCTGCTCTGAGCTGCCACACCCCCAACACACAGATACAGTTCACACTGACCAGCACATCCTCAGGCAGAAATTAGCTTCTGATTCAGCAGTTAAGAGAATCATCAGTTAGTTGATGAACAGAAAAATAGTCAACAACTATAGTGCTGATCGATTTATCGTTTTAAGGCAAAACAAGAGAAAAAGTTGTTCGTATTTTCTGGTTTCACCCTCTCAAATAAGATGATTTCTCTGCTTTCCCCCTTATCTATAATAGCAATAATAATAATAATGATGTAAAAATAATAATTTCAACATCTTTGGGTTTTGGGCTTTCGGTCAGACAAAACAATACATTTGAAGACATCACCTTGGATCCTGCAAAGTTGTGATAGGCATTTTTTTCTTACACAAAAATGATTTGTTGCACACTGAGTGACTGATTCTCTTATCCTCTTATTGTTGTGAAAGGCATCAGAAATCCTAATTAAAGCCAACATGGTGGCCATCCCTGTCCAGACGACAATAAACCAGGTCTACTGTAAAAACCCACATTTATACTTTTCAAACCTGGGCTTGATTAATAGGTAGACTTCAGTAACTGTTTCCTTTATTCTGTTAGTGAAAACACAAAAATGGCAATTTCACTGCTTTTCCCTGACCTGCTTTTCTCATATTTTATAGACCAAGTAATTAATCATTTAATTAAAGATTTCACTGGTAGAGTAGCAGAAAATGAAATGAAATAATCATTATTTACAGCACTAATCATATTGAGACAGTATTTACTGCTTTGCCTGTGTTGGACTGAACCAGTGGTTGTACGTAAAGCATTAGAAACTAAGTGGAGTTTGTAGATAAACTAATCAGCTTCAGGCAGATCAAATGTCCAGACTGAGAGGAAACTCAGCCGCTCTGTATTTTAATTGGTTTTATTCTCAGCAGTGTGTCCTGCTGAATCAGGTCTGGTTCTCAGAAACCTCAAGACATAAGCACATCACACTTGGCGTCTCAGTTTCTTTTTTGTTTAATTTCACTTTTATATTCTGCATGAGGTTGTGGTGAGGTGAGAAATGTAACAGCTCAGACTGTTTCTTAAAACACCACTAATCTGCACATTTAATGTAGAAAAAGGAATAAAAGTACTGTTAGTTTCTTTTCTTTTACTTTGAGTGGAAGTAGTGGGATTTATAGAAAATGGAGGTGCATACTTTTCCTGCTCAAAGGACTGAGTTCTCCTTCTACGTCCTATTCTCCAAAGGTTTGATCACTTATTTTGGTATTTACAATGAGACAAGTAGGCACTCCATTGTCATACACTGTATTAGTTCTTCTAAAGATATTGTGAGTGCATTAAACCTGAACAAAGAGCTAACACTATTGTTTCACCCCGACCAATTATGTGTCCTCTTTTTTTTCTTTTTTTCTTTTTAATTGAACAAATAAGCAAAAACTTAAATGAGTGAAAATACTTGTTGGTTGCATGATGATATTATTTGACTACAGTAGTGTTGTTAAATGAAGATGTTTTGGTTCCTAAAAGTGCTGAAAACTGCTGCTCGTTCCTCTGTATCTCAGCCTCTTTGGGACCTCTCAGCTAGTTTTAGGTGTGTGTGACACCTGAACCTGTTCTTTGTGTTTGCTGTTCAGGAGTCACAATGAGTCTGCAGTGGACGGCCGTGGCCACCTTCCTCTACGCCGAGGTCTTCTTTGTTCTGCTGCTTTGCATCCCCTTCATCTCACCCAAGAGGTCAGTGCTCACCTGCCCTGCATCTCATCGCTGCTGTAGTTTAATGAACTGCAGGTGACACTGAGGACGAGAGCAGACTGGCAGAAAACAGACCTACAAACCTGAATGACTGGCTGAGTGATGAAGTTACATCATAGTGTCGGCTGGCCAAGAGTTTGAGTTTCCCAATTGGTTGTTGCTCTTTCAAAATGATTTGGTGCAAACGAGCAGTGCCGACAACTTGGTGAATTCGTCGCTAGATTAACCAACTTTTCAGACCCCCTTTAGCAACAAATCTACAGAAACAAACAGATAAAGAGCTGAAACCAGCTGACAGTAGGCTGGATGTCGACAGGATGTGGTCCAGCCAGATACTAGGTTGTGAGCTAGTCTTGATATTTTATTTTATATATTTCTCTTCATCAAACATGTGAAAAACTTGTCTAAATTTTACCATCATATCAATGAATCTTGTGCCCTCAGATAAACATGGAAAACCACAGGTATGAACATTTAAAGCATCTTGTACAGTCAGACAGTTCCAGCTGAAGAAGCTCATTGATTTAAAGAGCAAACACAGAGCAGCTGTGTGTGAATGTGATCACATTAAAACCATCAGACCTCCTGACTGCAAACTGATGAGCTCTGATTAACTCGGCACAGAACAGAGACATCACTGAGATCTGAGTCCATGTCTGTTTGTCTGAAACCCTCTGTGACAGTATTTACACTGTCACTGAGACTGAGAGGGACATTCCTGAGTCTAAATGAAGAAATTATTAAAAACGTGCCTGAACAGTTGTGTAAACTCACTCTGCAGGGAGACTGAAGCTATATAATAACAGAAAATCCAGTTCTGCTTGTCAAGTTGTACATAATTCACAAACCTGTGAGCAAATAACTCAGGTTTGCTGATCACATGCTCAACAACAGGCTGCTTTTTAGTGGCAGTGTATACTAGAGCTGCAGTTGATGATTATTTTCCTCATCATTTATTATTCTACAAATTAATTTCAGGATTTATCAATTAATCATTTTATTTATAAAATCTCAGAAAATGGTGAAAGATGTTTGCTATGATTTCCAGAGGCATTCATTTTAATTGTTTGTTTTATTGAACCATCAGTCCAAAACCCCAGGATATTGAGTTTATTCAGATATGACACAGAGAAGCAGTAAATCATCTCAGAGGCTTTTACCAGTGAATGTTTGGAGGTTTTGCTCTATAAAGGACTAAAAAGATTGATCAGGTATCAGTATAGTTGCATTTCACAAGTGGGAAAGACATAGAAAGAGAAACAAGTTGTTCCAGCATCAACATGAACTCAAATCGAAGCAGCAGCTAGAAATGAAATGGAAACTATGCTGTTCACTTCCATTTGAAAATGTTTTAGTTTTAAGAGATTTATGCTTTCAGTACACTGTATCAAATCAGAATGAGATTTATTTGTCCAAACCATAATACATTTTGCGTACATGTGAGCGAGATAGTTAAAAAGTGAATGTTTTGTTCTTTAAAATGTTGTATATGTTATGAAACTGAATGTGTCTGATTAGTGTTTGGATTTCTCTGATTATTTTGGTTCACAAAAGAAAGTTAGATCTTGTTTGAATCTGTGTTGTGATGCAGTTTTCCTGTTGGTCTTCTCTGATGTTTTATGCAGTGCAGCCTGAAGTCTCTAAACTTTACCTGAAGAATCTGATTTATGTGAATTTCTTGTTTCCAGTTTTTTATTGGTTTTGTTGGTCAGGTATGTGTGCGTGTGGTGTGTGTTCCTCTGGGCCACTAGATGGAGCTAGAGCTCCTGGTTTATTAACATGCCTCAGGTGTGTGTGTGTGTCTCTACTGTATGTCATCATGCTCCTTGTATCTATTTTCCTCTGTGTCCTGATGGTTCTGTTTGATCCTGCAGGTGGAACAAGATCTTCAAGTCTCGCATCATCCAAACCATTGCTCTGTATGGAAACACTTCATTCATGGTGGCCATCGCCATCCTCGTCTTCCTGCTCATCGGTACTGTGTGTGTGTTCGTGTGTTCGTTCTCTCTCTCTCTCTCTCTCTCTCTCTCTCTCTCTCTCTCTCTCTCTTTACCCTGGTAATATTTGAAACCTCCTTCGCTTGGCCACCTGGGAGTAGATCTATCAATGCAGTTTAGGTTGAGAGTAAAGTAGATCCTGATGGTCTTGTCACATCCACCTTTGAGTGACCAACTCACATCCTTGAACGATTTATCACACATAAGGTTTCACTCAGAAACACGTCACATTAGGGAGGTGAAGAGGCTCTAACTGCTGTTTCACTGAGACATTAAGTAACGTGTACAAACAGAACTGATGCCACTGAACATAATTAATAAGAGCTCACATACTGTCTGTTTGATTAGTGAATAGATGATTTCTTTGCTTCCACTTGTGGAGGATGTGAGCTGCCACCTCCAGGTGCCTTTCACTTTTTTACATTAACATTAATGCTAAAGCTAATCAACAAACTCACATTTTTCTAAAAGCTCTAATGTATCTGACCAGGTGGTAAATATGGAAGTGCTTGAAGAGTAAACGTGGCCTCATTTCACGTCAGCTAAAGTCCATCAATCAAACTGATTAAACCTATTTTAATAGATACAACAGTGTTTCTCACAGGTGGAGAATTTTTGCGTGGTGCGGTGTGTGTACAGAGACTCATGCAGTTTAGTGGGGAGACTGTAATCCACGTTATTTTATGTAGCTACAGTTTACAGATGTCCCATGAACGCCTCACATGCAGACTGTCAGTAGATGCTAGCTGGTGGATGCACATAGAGAAGCCTCTAGTCTCCACTCAGTGCAGCAGCTCAGACAGGTGTGTGAGGCCAAACGTGAGTCTAAAGAGGGAAATGTAAGATTTACCTAAGTAGAACATATGTATGGAAATCACTGTATAGTGTTATATTATCATCATAGAGAATTTGAACACATCACTCACATGGTCAACTCTGTAGTAATTCAACCGTGGATGCTCTTAAGATGTGAATAAGAGAATCTGTAGTGCTGCTTTCACATCGTATTGTTTAAACTGTAATTAGGAGCAGAAGGTACAGACATGTGAAGAATAGCTGCAGATGCTTCACAGCTATTACATCCAGATAAAATCCAGTGTTAACACTAATACAAAACATTTTATAGGAGCTGTTTGTTTGGATCTGTTTTGACTTTGACTACAAACATAACACAACTCAAGAAGCGGATGTGGGCTGTTTATCTGCTGTGACTACAAGGTCAGCACCAGGATAAACCACCTCAGAGTAAAGTGTGAACACTTCCAAGTATGAATAACAACAGTTCTCCTGGTCTTCAGTCTGCTGACACTGTGACTGCAGCATGACTCCATGTCTGCTGCGATTTGTGTTTCTAGTGTAAGAGCTGAAACCACTCCCTCATTCATTCACTTACTATTGAGATTTTAGCCACTTTCTGATCATCATTCTGCGTCATCTCTGACAGCTGAAGTAAAACCTGTGAAATGTGACGCATATTTTTGGATTGTGTATAGAAAGTATGTAACAGGTAAATCAAACCTGGAGATTAGCACCAGTGTCCAGCCCTAATGTGTAACAGTACGATTTGTTGGATATAGAATGATGGTGTTCTTCATGTCTTTAATCTGTTGTGTGCGTCTGTAGATGCGTTTCGTGAGGTGAGGAAGTACAGTGTGACGGAGAAGGTGGACCTGACCAACAACCCGACGGCCATCGAACACATTCACATGAAACTGTTCAGAGCTCAGAGAAACGAGTACATCGCCGGCTTCGCCCTGCTGCTCTGCCTGTAAGACACACACACACACACACACACACACACACACACACACACACACACACACACACACACACACACACACACACACACACACAGCGACAGGCTGATATAAATACAAGGGAATTTTACAGTAGGATGGAAAGAATGAGCAGCTGTGTGTGTGTGTGTGTCCATTAACAGTCACTATAAATTCCTCAGCCTCATCCTGATTGGACAGAGCTCTGAAGTATGAATCTCTTTCTGTCCCTTATTGGCTGGCTGCCCAGACAGGGTCAAACATGCATTAAATCTGATTGGCTGCTGAGCTCTGTGACATGGTGCGTTCTCATTAGTGGGCAGCATGTTGTTGGGCTGTTACTGAAGTTACTGTCTGATTATCAAACACATTCAAACTGGTTAACTTGACCTCTCTGTGCCTGTCACTGCTGCCTCCCTTTTTCATGTGTGTATCTGTCACACGCTACCTCAGGTATGAATGGTCACGATTGGTGGACATCACTTCCTGCTTAAAACACCTGCAAAACCCCAATAAAAGATTTAAATTTAAAAAGAAAAAAAAGCTGCTCACTGCAGGTTACTACACTTAACAAAACACAACTGTGCATTTGGCTATAATTACGACATATTAAATAAAAATAATGACATGATTTGGTGACTGTGAATTCCATATTAATCAATAAAGGCAACAGTCAATCATTGATTTTTAGTTGTAAACTATGGGAATCAATAAATTGGCTACTTGACAGTCATGTGACATTGATGGGGTGTGGGTGTGTTTGTGATTAGTTGGTTTGAATCTAAATGAGTCAAACTCAAAAATGTAACTTAAAAGTTTTGTGGTGAACTGATTCAGAGCAGAGAAACTTTGCCAAAGTTAGTTCCCTCTCAATGGCTGCTTGCTACCTGTAGGGGGCGGCAGCAACACTGGAGCACTTGCTCCTGAACTCTGACTCACCACAGCAGCAGTACAGCATGTGCAGAGACCTGCAGCTGCTGCAGCTGCTGCATCACATGCTGTACTGCTGCTGTGGTGAGTCACAGTCCAGGAGCAAGTCATCTAGCGTTTGGACCGAGCCCTCGGACAGACGGTCTGCTGTGATCTGGGACTGTGACTTAAGAATTTCCAGGCTCAGCCAAGAAGGAAATATGTAGCACGAGTTTATGGAAAGGCTGAAGAGCTGGCAGCTGATGGGATTATTTCAGGCCTATGAAGTGACTGACGGCCATATTTGGAACTGAGAGCATCTTTTCCTGCCGACGTCTCTCACATGGAAAAACCTCTGGTTTTGTCGTAATAAACTGCTCAACTTTAGGCTTCTTCTGGAAACTGTTTATATTTCCTTCTGACACTGATGTTTGTAGAGGAACAGACCAACAGTGTTACAGCCAGATATCTCAGATATCTCAGATTCCTCTGAGCCACACTGTTTCCAAAAACTATTAAAACACATCAGTGAGTCTCGGAGCGTCACTGGGTCACATGTTCCTTTATCACCATTAACTCTGAGCTCTTCTCACACTGAACATTCACTGTTGCAGTAATGGTTCACTGCTCACCACACCTGCCTCACCTGACACACAGTCGCTCTGTCACACACACACACACACACACACACACACACACACACACACACACACACACACACACACACACACACACACACAACACCACACCACACTGAACACTTCCAGTGATGCTGCACTACTGCACTCTGACAGTGTTTTCATTCAGCTTTGTTCACACAACCAACATCTGCACTAGCTTGTCTGAGTCACACTGGACACTTATTATGGATTATGGACAGCTGGTCTTTATTCAGCTCTGCATAGTTTTTATGTGATTATCCTTGATTAACAAAGCAAACAACAAAAGAAAGTTTTTTGATGGAGTGAGGCTGAGGCTGACCAGTTTGTTTGTCTTTCTTTCAGTTTATTAATCACTACTTGTTAATTTCTCTCATGAATCTCTTTTGATGATTTTAATCTTCTGTAGCTCAATCAGCCTGTACCCAGTCAGTAATAAAGGCGACTGTGGTTATATCTGTGATTATATCTACGTCAGATCAGATTCTCAGCACGATCAATTCAAGAAACTTTATTTGTCCCGGGGGGGGGGGGGCACAGAGACATTACAAATACACAAAGAAGAACACATAACCAGTGCAAGACAAACTGTACACATTAAGAAAAATGACAATGACATGAAGAAACAACATCAGCACAAAAAAAAAAAAAAATCAACAACAGTGCAAAACATCTGAATTTTGCTCCATTTAGGTTTAACTCGGGTCAGGAATTCATCTACATTTGGATGATTGTCTCTCTCTGCTTCTGTTGCGTGTCAGGATGTCACTGAGGAGATATTCACCTACAGCTTCGATATCACATGACTGTTAACTGTGGTTACACTTCACTGTGATGGATTATCTCAAAAATATTCAAGTCTCTGCAGGTCGTTTGTACTGAAATGAACTGAAGTCTCTCAGGGTGTCTTTGTTTTTAAAAAGTCTTAAATTTCATTCACAAAGGTCTTGGATATGTTTTCCTGTCCGCTGTGGACAGTAACATTAGTTATAACTCGTGGCTGTCAGGAGACAGTTGTTAGGAAATCATCTGCTCATAATGGACAAAAAAAACATACATTTTCTGCTCTCTAGGCCTGTTCACTAATCATGGGTCCAGGTCATGTTCTTCATACTTTTAGGTTTTATTGTTCTGTACAGCTGGGAAGTCCAGACCAGATTCTCAGGAGCTTCAAATACTTAACAAATATTTGCCTTATTATTTGTTTTCTGTCACTCTGTTAAAAAGGTCTTGAATTCACATTGTATTAAAACCTGCTCTCTGCCTGGATGAAGAGAGGTCAGAGTTCAGTGTCGTGTGGTCAAATTAAACATCTAAAAATAGCAGACTGCTCCTTTTTTAATCAGATTCAGCAGCTCGGTGACAAACGCAGACCGGTGACTGACAGGAATGGGGGCAGTTATTCTGTTCATTTGCCCCCTTGCTCCCTTCAGTTTCCCCTACAGCCATGCCCACCCCTGCTGCGAGCCACCATTACATCACTGCCTGTCAATGCCGCGCACTGCACATATAACACGCACAACACGCACACCGCAGCATGGAAATGTCAGGGGTAACTCTGTGTGTGTGTGTGTGTGTACGTACGTACGTACGTGTTGTTACTATATGTGTGTGAAGTGGTGAATGGCTATATTAGGTTGTGAGTGATGTGTTGAAGCCTGAATGACAGCTGGTCTGATTTACTGTTGTCTACATACACGTGTGTGTGTGTGTGTGTGTGTGGCTGTCTAACAGCTGATGCAGCAGTTTGTCTCAGGTGTTGTGTTTTGTTTTGTAGTTGTTGCTCTTTGTTATGATCATTGCAGCTAATCATCATCATTATCAGCTGGTAGAGCAGAGAGTCTTGGTTCAAATCCTGATATGTTGTTGTCATGTGTGTGAGAAAGTGTCTTTGACCAAGACAATGAACCTTAAATCTACTTAAATGTGCTGAAGATAGCAGCAACAATTAACCAGTAAATCAGGTGGTCGACTGAGAGTAAACTCATCAAAATCTCAAATTTATTTCTTTTTGATATTTATTATAGTAATTATCTTAATATCTTAAGGTTTCAGACTGTTCGTCAGAGAAAACGAAAAGTCTGTTCATTTGCTAATTGACCAATAAAGATACATGACTGGAAAATATCTGATATCCTCCATCAACTTCTGATCAGTCATCAATATAAAAGTTTAAAGTTAAACAGTGAAGGTTAGTTTTTAGTGTTATAGCATGAGCAGCTTTATTTCAGTGAATACAGCTCTGCTTTTACTGTTGTTACTCAGTCCTGTTTTTTTAAACTGTGCTTTATAGCTCACAAATAACATTTAATAAAGTCATTGTGTGTTTTGTTTCTGCAGGTTACTGCGTCGTCTGGCCACTCTACTCTCCCAGCAGGCCTCACTCATGGCCTCCAACGAAGCCTTCAAGAAGCAGGCGGAGGGTGCCAGCACCGCCGCCAAGAAATACATGGAGGACAACGAGGCGCTGCAAGAGGTGAGAAACAAACACACACATTACCTCACTTGAAGACTGATTTGTCAAAGGCTGAAAAGCTGTATTTTGTTGGCATCTTAGAAAGAATGAAAACAGAACAGAAGAATACAACACATTAGTGTAAACATGCCTGTGTGCATGGACCCTGGTCCTGGACCAGGGCCCAGGGAGTCAGGAGGCCACTGGACCAGAGCCTCTGTATGAAGTGACAACACTTGTTCTTGTAAGTCAAAGCTATAAAGGGACACAAACCTGACAACAAGGAGACAGACACCTGACTACAAAGAGACTTGAACATGACTTCAAGGAGACACGAACCCAACCACAAAGAGACTCGACAACCATGGACAACTAGACTTTTGTCTCTTTCGGTCTGAGACTTGCTCCTGTGTATCAGGAGTTGGGGGGCCTGTTGCATATCTGTGTCCAGGGGCCTGTTGTCTCATAACCATTGATGCCTCTGTGTCTTTTAATGTGACTGTCAGTGTGTGACACTCACCAGTAGGAGGCAGCCCTGATCTGCAGCTGCTGAGGTGAAGCAAGTAAACACTGGAAATATTCAAAGAGGAACACTCAACATTCAATCTGTGTGGCTCATTCACAATGTCTCTCTCTCACACACACACATGCACGAACACATGCATGCACAAGCACACACACACACACACACACACTCACACACACTCACTCTGTGGTAATCCGACCAGGGTTTGTCCAGGGTGAAGAGATCACCAAGTTCTCCAATGCTAAAAGAAGAAATTGCTTCATCTGCATGTGACAAGCATACACACACACACGTCCACACATGCCCATACCCATACCCATACCCATACACACACACACACTGTTGATTCATGATAGTTCAGTTTGGTTTCTAGGAAATTGTTGTTGTCACTGGTGAGGAGGAGCTCTTCATCCACGTTACCACTGATAAAGTCACGTTAGGTTCTTCCTGATGAAATTATTTAATCAGGATGAAAAGAGAAAACTGCATCTTCTTTATAAAATCTCATATTTTTAATGACCAGTGAACGTCTCATCCAGGTGTTACAGTCACAGACAGCACTGATGCATTTAAAACGGGCTGTAATATTGTAGACCAGGACGTCTGGGTTACCTGCTTCACTAGGATAATGTTATATAACCAGTGCTGTGAAGCTGGTTAGCAGCTGCCTCGGTTAACTCTGGGATTTCCTTCGGGTACAGGCGCATTCATGTGACATCATCAGAGCCATGAATGAAGTGATTAATATTATATTAGATGAAACTGTGATAACCCTGCAGGGGAGTTCGGTTATGGCAACACACTCTTCTGAACATGTGACGCAGATAAAAAGAATTAAAGTAGGTCAGACTGTTTCTGCTGCCAAAACAGAGAGGAGAGGAGTGGTTCGTGTCAGATGTTTTCTGACTCAAATGGTGAATTTACAATCAGCTGCTTTAGAAAGTCTCTGCTGGTCGGGACGTCTGGAGGCTAGTCTCTCTCTGGGTGTATCCACTGTTGCCCTGACTAAGGAACTGTAGAGACTCAATTCTCGGACAGTTTTTCAGACTACAGTCTTTCTGATCTTGATCAGGTGTGAGGGGCTGCTCAGTCTGGAAGTGTTTCCCTCTTTTCTATATTATCATTTAAGATTAAATGTAATTTGTTTCCTCCAGCTTGTTGATTATTGTTGGCTTTGATGAGCAGTTTGCCCAGTTGTAGCTAATTAACATTGATTCTGTGAAAACAAATGTCTTGTTTAACTACTTGTAGGGCAGTTGGTTTGTTTAGATCTCAGCCCAGAGCTAAATTCAGCGTGAAAACAGTTTAATTGACATAACATTAATGTGCAACTAATTAAAATGCATAAAAGTTGAATAATTGTTTTAGTTGTTGCAAAAATAAGATTTTGATTGTTCCATCTTTTCTACTTCTGAAATGAATACCTCTGGATTATTGGACTGATAGTTGCATAAAACAAGACATCAAGTACGGAAATGGGAAATTATAATTGTAACTATTCTAATTAATATAATCGTTATTTGCAGCCCTTATTCAATTTGTGTTAATTATTGTGATCCTAAATTCCTGCAGCGAGTGTGCAGAGAAACACCATGTTGTCATACTGTGTGTGTGTGTGTGTGTGTGTGTGTGAGAGAGAGAGAGAGAGAGAGAGAGAGAGATATGAATCTGTGTGGAGCCTGGAAGGTCAGTTACGTGCATGTGGAGCTGCAGAAGAGCTGCAGGAACACGTGCGACTTTGATAACCGTCACTATTTTTGACGGGATGGTGTAATTTCACTTCAGACACTGTTACTCAAGGTGACACAACTGCTGCTGGTGTGTGAGAGTGTGCGTTCACATGTTGTCAGAAAGTGTTACATGTTACTTTCAGACCAGGGCACCTGCTCCCTCTGACACCTTTCTCATAATTTACAACATCACGTTGTCAGGCAGTAAAACTGATAAAAACAAACAGAGTGATTGCAGTTCTCACTCAGCTGCTGAATTTATTCAAAGATGTAGAACCACACGAGATAAAACAAACATTGAGATAAGTGTGCTCTTTAAATTATTTTATTTAACAACACTTCATAAGAACAATGCCATGATAAATAGAACATAAAACAAATAAGCATAACACCGTTCAGTCTTGGCTCTGTCTTGCCTGCAGGCGGGTCTCTGGTACAGTATTTTGTGAGTGCAGTATTTGTGGTTTGACAGAGAGGACCCGTTCTGTAGAGGTTGTAGGTTTGTACTGCAGTTGCACTCTGAATCAAAATCTAACGGATCATCACAGAACAGATTTAATCGCTCAACTCTGTTTAGACCTGAGTTGTTTGTCTTAAATAGAGACCAACTCTTTAAGGATAAATTTGTATTTTTTTTTTCGTGTTCTGGTGTTGTGGTCCATTATACACTCACTGAGCACTTTATTAGGAACACCTGTACACCTGCTTATTCATGTAATTATCCATCTGACCATCACGAGTCGGCAGTGAATAAACTCCTGCAGATCCTAACCAGGGTCATAGTTAGTGGTGGTTTCGTGCTTAACTGCAGAATATTGATGTGTTTTTAATATTTTTACCCCTCGTCTTTGCAAATGTGGGTGAAACATTAGAAACAACTCGATATATAATGCGGTCCAGTTCAGCTCCATCGCAAACTGCAAACTCAATAAACTTTTAGTTAACTTAATACCTTAACATTATTATGTTTGTACAGGTAGACTTTATGGCTCAACTATTATATTGGACTGAATTAGATTTCACAGCTGTACTAGAAACATCTGGATACTAACACCTTCAGTCACTTCCCTGTGACTGAAGCTTTCTCTCAGGAGAAGATGTTGTCGGGTCGTGCCCAACTTTCCTTGGTTGTTTTGACTCTGAACCACAGCGTCCTCCAGTTGGTGGGTCATGAATGATGGCCTTGGAAGATCTTCCTTGGTCGCCCTCTTCTGAGTGCTGAGACTGAAATTACTGGCCTCATTCACCCACACCAGTCTTTCCTGAAGTCCATCTGTCTTTCCAGAGGCACCAGTCTTCCTTGGTTGCTGTCCAGTCTTTCCTGAAAGTCACTGGTGTCCCAGTGGATTTACTATTAGACACATCAAGATGCTGACACCCTTAGTTACTGAAGTTTTCGGTCAGTAGAAGATGTCTGACAGTTTTTGAAATGATTTGTAAAAATGTTTCTTGGCCTCTAAACACTGCCTGTGATTTGTTCTCAGTTGTTTTGTTTTGTTTTTTTTAATCCTCAGAGAGGTGTTGATAGCATTCTGTGATTATTTGTGATGCTGTAGTTCAGTGTACTTGTACGGGTTGGATGAGGATCCTTGAGATCCTGTGGCCTTTCTGAACCTGAGACCTTGTGCTGCTGGAATTGGTTCAGTAAAATTAGGTTTTATGGCCAAGCCCTCCTCGGTTAAAGGTCTGAAGCTCAGCAGCTGTTTCACTCTGTCACACTGAGTGACGGCACTTTACCAGCTGAGCTCAGTTTGAAGCTTCAGTCTCATCAAATCTTACATTTTCCAAGGCTTTTACTTTGAAAAGAGAGTTTTCACTGATGTCTGAGCCTCACTCTCACTTCAGTGGTGGAAAGTGACACAATTATACTCTTAACTTTTTACTTACTTACTCGAGTGTTTCCATTTCCTACTTTGTACTTCTATTCCACCACATTTTAAAACCCAGTTTTGGGCACTACATTTATTTAACAGTTGTAGTTAAATTTTTACATATTTCATCATTAGGGGCGGGTGGGCAGTCAGGCTACAAGATCATGTTACAATCTTTGAGTAGTATCGCAATCTATGATCTGAATCACAATCTACATCCTATTTCCGCTCTGGTTCTATTGTGAAAGTCCTGACAGGAAGTTCTGATTTGTATGTCTCCACTGCTGTGACACCCACAAAGCTGTCTTCTGTTTAGAAATCATGTCACAACCAATCACAGTTTTTGCTTGGTTCATATGGAGTATTTGTTTGGACGGCTCTGTTATTTATTTATGGGGTGCCTTTATGTAAGTGTTTTAATTTGAAAGTTCAGTCACTGCCCCGGCTCGTCCTGCTTCCTGTTTCCCTGCCTGCAGCCAGTTAACATGGTCTCGTTAGCAGATATCTAAATATAGAAACTTTTAATGAGGTGATCTGTACGATTGATCTGAAGAGTAGATCATAGGCCAATGTAAGATCATCAGAACATCCACCCCCAGCCACTAGTTTATAAAACAGAATATCATTAAAGATTGCATTTGTGGTTTGCAATCTTTCCATAAAGAATAAACCAGTGTGTGGTTGTGTCCTCGTCATGTCTCTGAGTTATCAGATTGACCAAAAAGACATTTCTCCCCTAAACTTCTCGCATTCATGTCAACAACTGTTCAAAGCCAGAAGAGCTAAAACTCAGATAAAAATAGTCCAAAAACTAAAACCAGATCAGGGAATCAGAACTTTATTCTCCCAAGAATTATCTCAGGACCCTTCAGATTTATTGGGTGACCCTTTGCAGGGACCGGCCCCCTAGGTTTGAGCCACTGGACTAAAGTATTCGAGCGTATATGACGAAGTTAGAGCAGGTCCACCTGGAGCAGCTACAACAGTGAACTGTGCAGAATTTTTAATTGTTAGTTAGTTTTAAACTATGTAAAAAATACTTTGCTGTGATTTAATATTTTTTAAACATGTTTAAATGTTTAACAAGTTTAAAAAAAAAAAAAAAAAAAAAAAACTCTGAGAAGTGGCAGGTAGCTCATCTACGCTCACTTCCTCATTGTGAAATTCTAAATCAACAAACTTAGAATTTATTCACTTTTATCCAGGTGAATGTTAAAAATGGTTGTTTTCTGTTTCTCCTCATTTTACATGAGAATATGCAAAATATTGCGAACACTGGAACACATTTTGATTCATCATTTAAATGTGTAGCTGCTTCATTGACATAAACGGTAGAAAAAACACACAACAAATGTTTCTATCTCTGTAGTCGTAGTGACATTGACACAGACAGGTGTGAATACCAAACGCTCCTCCTTCACCCCCACAGCTACCGACACACATACACACGATCATGATTATAAGTCAGCGATTATACAAGATGAATGAAACTGTACCAGGGTGGTGAAATCTGAACTGATAAAACTCTGGAAGTTCCAACATGAAGAGACAGAAAGTTTCTCTCACTGTACTTTAAATAGTCACAAATAAAGAGAAGCAGAAGAAACATCAGACTCGCTCAGCGTGACTGTAGTTAACACAAACACTGATTCATAACATCATTTACAGCTGCTGAACAGACGTTTGTCTCAGGTGTCCATATATGAGTTAAACGGTCACCTGACAGCCAATCAGAAAGCAGGATTTTTCTGTTGCTACAGTATGAAACACACACACACACACTCGCACAGCAGCTGGTGCGTCGCTCTGAGGTCAGGACTGAGAGGTCAGGAGGTGTTTGGTATGAACACCTGTTGGTCTCTGAGTGGGCTGAGTCAAACTGAGTCCAAACTGATCACCGACCAGAAACGAGTCCAGCAGCCTCATGAGTTTAAACTTTTAGTTTCGGATCAAATTTACTTTCAGATGTTTCTTTTATCTCAATGTTGGTTTTACTGTAGCTTATGTCTCAGTGCAGACCACAGGCCGGATCACACTAGACCAGACCAGGGAATAGTTGGTCTCAGGCTGAAAGGAGAGGAAGAGAAGCTGAATATTAATAATCTGACTAAACTGATGAATCAGCTGGGGTCAGTGTATCATCTTACTGCAGATGTTTCTCAGCATCTGTATCTGTCAAACAGGATTAGAGTCTGTTCATCCGAGCACTGATAACATAATTGTTACACTGTAAAATGTCGAACTCACTTTGTAACTCTTACCAAGAAAAAAATAACTATTTTCATTATTGCAGATTTTTTTTTTTTTTTTTTACTTAATTAATCATTTAGTCTAATAAACATTAGAAAATTATAGCTGAGCTTGAGGAGACGTCTCCAAACCTTTAAATCCTCACATATTCAGTTCAAAATGATCTGTGACAAAGAGAAGCTGCGAATCTGCAAGTACTTGGAGTGAAATGATAAATCGATTTTCAAAATAGTTTCTTCTGTCAATCGACAGACTGATCAATTAATTGACTAATCATTTCAGCTTTAATCAAGATTGTTTGTTTCATGATAGTTTACACTGTCTGACATATTATATTGTTTTTAAACCCCCAAATCACAAGAGTGGGTCGGGCTCTAATTATATATGAATATAACATTTAAAAATTAAATGAATTAAAAATAAACGTTATGTATAAGTTAATAAGTTGGCTTTGCTGGTGTGATCGCTCAGTGCTGCATCTTCACTCTGTCACATCTCCAGTGACAGGATAATAACAAGTGCAGGACTGAGCAAAAATTTTCAGACACTTCAAGTAAAGTAAGTATTGGTTTCAAAAGTAAGGCCATGAATAGTTGTTTTAATTTATTAGTTGGCTTCATACAAAATGCAGTAAATAGAATAAACCTAAAGCTGGCGTGTTGAACTGTAGTCTTTTGTCACGGTGAACACATCACACAGACAGTGGTAGTCAAGGTAAAGCTGCTGATCCAGGGAAGAACTTGTAATGTTTCTTTTGGACGCTCTGTTTCATCAGACCCAGATTTTCTACATCTGCTGCATCATTTCACACATTTCTCCAAAGTTTAACCTGAGAGTCAGATCTGACATCTTTGGAAACTTTGAGATAGAAATTAAAACAAACATCTGTGAATCTGAATAAACTTTAGACAAACATCAAACTGAAACTTTTTTCTCTGGATAGAAACTGCGTGACGCTGGTATCGAGGTGCCAGAGGCCGGGAAGAAGGGAGCAGGACCGCAGGAAGAGAACAAGACTCTGAAAGAGGAGGTGAAGACCCTGAAGGAGGAGCTGGACACCACCAAGAAAGGTGAGAAGGAGAACATAAGAGATGGAGGGAGGAGGAGGAGAAGGTGAAGGACATGGAGGAACTGGATGTCCAGGAAGGAGAGGATGAGAAAGAAAAGGACCACTCTGTTCATATCACCATGGTGATGAAGGTGTAGCTACAGCTACAGCTGCAGGTGAGGAGACAAAAGTGGAGATCTCTGAACCTCGATGTCATCTGTTCTTTCAGCTCTGCAGAAATCAGACAGCGACGTTCGAGCCATGAAGAAACAGGCGGAGAACCTGACGGTGGAGTACGACAGACTGCTGGATGAGCACAGCAAGCTGCTGGTAACACACACACACCCCTGTATCTGTTGAAGGCAGAACGGAGAACAGTTCTGCTGGACTGGAAGCTCCACGTTGCAGCCAGTTAGGTAGAAAACAGATGTTACAGATGTTCGAATGCTGTTGCTGGTTTATAAATGTATTATCAGCCAAAACACTTGAGGTTTGTTTTCAAGAAAACAAACAGTAAACAGTCAGCCCATCATCTGGAGTCAGAACCAAAGGACGAAGCTGCTGATCACTAATGGATCCAACTTCAGTTTAACATCTTCACGCAGTAACAGAAAAAAGTGACATGATTCAAACTGGTCACAACATAAATCTGTGTATGGTTCTGAGGAGACGTCTCACTTTGATAATCTGTTGGGCTTAATGAAGAATGAAGAACTCTGATCCTCATCCTGAGGCTGTTTGCAGACTGGAGACCAGTTTGACCCCGGGATGAACCACCCCCTGGGTGGAGAAGGTCAAAGAGGAGGGGACTTGATGTCAGAAAACTGGCAAACCCCGTTATGTTACATAACGGTGTGTATGTAACACACACACACTAGTCTGTACAGTTTTGTACACGTAGAGGATTTGGACTCGGGATTTGGATCTGATCCCTGCTTCAGTTCTGGATCTGGTTCAGGATGAAAAAAAAAACTGGATTCCTGAAGCTCAATGACGACCAACCTGTCAGATCTATTATTTTTTGTAGAGCTGCAACAGAAGAGTAATTCACTGATAAGTTGCAGCTCTAATTTCTCATCTCTCTTTTTGTAATTATCCAGACTCAGTCATCAGTGAACCAGGAGCAGCAACAACTATCACCTTTAGAATTGACATTGATTCTGAGTAATTTACATCATCTGATCATGAAAAAATAATTTCAGAATTTGCTGGTACAAATTACAGAGACAATATTGCCTCTACAGAGCCCTGAAACTGACTAAATTGTCTGTCAGTTAAATGATTAAATATTAATTTAAAAATCAAAAGTAGAAGTGTAAAAGTAAATGTAAAGCTTTATACTTTTCCTTAAATCTCCAGTTGTTTAACTAAATAAAATCCTTTTTATTTATTTATTTACCAATCTGTTGATAAAATATATTAAAACTTAACTTAATTCATTACAACATTTTCTTTTACTGCCCTGTTCTCTGTCTGCAGGAACAGTGTTTTTACTGCCCTGTTCTCTGTCTGCAGGAACAGTGTTTTTACTGCCCTGTTCTTTGTCTGCAGGAACAGTGTTTTTACTGCCCTGTTCTCTGTCTGCAGGAACAGTGTTTTTACTGCCCTGTTCTTTGTCTGCAGGCGAGCAGCGACAAGAAATCAGACTGAGAAAGAGACGGTTTCAAGCTTCTGTCATCTTCATCTTCATCATCTTCACCGTCCTCGACAAACGGTCTGCAGCTTCTGTATCCACCTCAAGGTCCTGTTCAGTGATGTCACTTCCTTTTAGGTCAACTGACATTGCTGGGCTGTGATTGGTTCATTAGACTGACTGCTTTATCAGAAAACTAAGAATGTCAGTTTTTTTTTCTTTTGTACTGAAGTTTTAGTTTCTTTTCACTTAAAGTTTGAGCTTTTTTTTCCACTTTGCTGTTGCAACAGTCAATGTTCTTTTTGTACAATGTTTAAACAGCAGAATTACACAGTTAAACAATGTTGGCTTCATAAAATTTGATCTGATCATTCCTGTTCCCTAAAAAAACCTGAACTTTCCTGAAATTCCTGAAAACATGTTTTATACAGAAACTGGTGATTTTTCATTCCAGAATAAGATGTCCAGTCTTTAAAAAACACCTGTTCTCCTGAACTGACGGCTGAGATGAATGTTCAGACAGATAAGGCTTCAAACAGAGCTCTCTCTCTCTCTCTCTCTCTCTCTCTCTCTCTCTCTCTCTTGCTCTCTCGCTCTCTTTGAGAATAAAATAATTCCTCAGAAATCAGTTCGGTGATTATCAGGGTGTAAATTTATCTGTTCCAGCTTTTTAATTAAGTGAAATCCCCTAAATTGTTGTTTTGTTTTGTTTTGTTTGTTTGTTTGTTTTTTTTGTTTGTTTGTTTTTTTTGTTGTAAAGGTTGAAGAATCATGTCTCATGCTTTATGAATGTTTGGACCTGCAGTCGATCCTGGTTTCAATCTGTGAGTCACTTTGAACGAGAAAAAGAAAACATCTGCATCTTTCTGTCACATTTTCTGCTCGGAGTATGATCAATAATTGATTTGAAACAGTCTGAACAGTGAAATACCAGAAGAGATTAGAGTTACAGTCTCTGGTTTATGTCTCAGCACCAGTTAACTTTAAGATCCTGAAGTTATTTTACAGTCATGTGACATCTGCAGATCGTTATTCACCACATGACTGGAGCAGAAACGGCAACCAGAAGAAACTCCAGGCTTTGTTGTTCTGTCTTTGTTGCCTGGTGATAAACATGGTGGATTTAATTAGCTCCACGTCCTCATTAGGGCGATCTTTTCTTCTCTTTTCTGTGCTCTCACCTCAGCTGGCGGTTCGGTGGTGATTTGTTTCTGTTCATAAGTGAACAGTAGAGTTTTGGGTTTAACGGTTAATATGTGGGTTGTTTTGTGGCTTTCAGGCTGAGTTTCGCTCTGTAACTGCATCTGCATCTGTTTCTGGGCCTCGTCAATCTGAAACCATCCTCGCCGGTTTCCAGCTGCATATTTCCCCAGTGTCAGCAACGTTTGGCAGAAGTTTGAGAATCTGCTGCTACTCAGTTTCTCCAGTTAACTCATCCTGTAAAAAACATTTCAGTCTCTGTTGTTTTCCGGAGAGTAAAGTGTTCTTGGTTGAGGAAGAAGCACATGTGATATTTGTATGTAAACAGGATGATTTAATGTGTTGTATCAGGAGTTTAATTCCATCAGGTGTTGAAAACCCCCCATTCTCCCTCTGTCTGCAGCTGTAATTTAATTCAGCCCAGGGTTATCTGAGCTGCTGTTTATGTTCATCAAATCTGCTGAAGAGAAAACAAATGTGTAAATCTTAAAGTCAAAATTTGGGGACAAATTTTGGGACAGATTTGTTGACAGTGAACATGAGAGGGTGAAAAAGTGCTGGTCCTCCTGATAGTTTGTCCTGAAAGAAAAGTAAAACATCACTCTATTATCCACATGATGGTTGAATTATTTACGCATCATGTGTCATACTGTGAAATAAATGAAAAATGTTACATTTGATTACATGTTCTCCCTGTTGTTCTCACACTTCCAGAGTCACTGAAAGGCCTTGGTGGGTATTTTGTTTTTCTAAGTTATGTCTGCATTAAAAGCTGGGGCAAAGAGCACAGCTGCGTCAAAGCCCCAGGTTCACTCTGTTTGTGAATATACAGCATGGAAACACATTAGAATTGTAAGGGCCTTACATAGTCCATATTCCCTTGTATGTTAATAGGGGCCCTTGGCACAAGAAACACTGATTCATGAAAGACGAGCTGACAGAAGCTCAAACCTAGAGCTTCCTCACAGGAAACGCACAAATGGGTCAGAAACAAAAATTCCCACCGAGGTCTTTCTGAGGTTTCATTCACACCAACTTCCTTATTTTGAAACTATTCTGGGTTGAAGACGCTTGTGTTACCTGATGAGTTTTCTGGTTGTAATTGGTTGATTAACTTTCAACAGGGAATCTGCAGGTGTTGATAATTATTTAAAAAGTAATGCATTTATTTTACTAAAAAAGTTTTTAAAAAGTTTTAAATTTCACGGGAGGATTGTTGGTGATTCGGGTCTAGATTTCAGCAAAAACCTTAATTAAATGAATTCATTTTTAATTGATTAATCTTTCTATTTTCTGCTACTTGTCATAGTCCAAGTCACATTAATAAAATGGTTACATTAGAAATTATTGTTGTAAACAGCTGGCAGGTGCTGAAAAATGTGATATGATAAGTAATTCTTGGTCATATCATCCCTGCTGTTTTAAAATCCAACTGGTCAGAATCTTCTACGTATCTGAACCTGCAGAAACCCTGTTTAGATCCTGACGTAATTCAAATTTGCAGTCTGTTCAGTGGGAACAGACTGCCCCCCCCCCCCACTACGCTGCGACCAGTTTAAAGCAGCGTAGCAACATTAAGATATAAATTCTTAAACTTTAGTCAACATGGTACACATCATTAGCTCAGATAGATTCTCCACAATACGACTCTGAGAAACCACGAGTACAACAGTTTGATTAATTCAGATTTACTGACATTGTAAACCAGCAAGAGAAACAGTGGTGACTCCCTACCTTTTGAAGAGATGTGCTTGTTTTCACTCCCAGCAATGTGTTGAGTTTTCACCCCGGCAGGGTCGAGTGAAGACATCGAGCGCACCTGTTTTACATGACGACACTTTTTTTTTTTTTGTCACATTTGGGTGATTTTGTTTGTTTCAAGAAATCTTCTTGTGACTCAGAAATGAACATCACTGGGACTTTAAACTCACTGAGAGCATTCCTCTTACTCTTATCTGACTTTATTACATTTGTTGATGCTGAATGTGCGGTCATTATAAGGTTTTTGTATTTAGGTTTTATCATTGGATAGCTGCCTTGTTTTCTGCTTTATTCAGTTACAGCTTTAAGAAATGTTGAGTGGGGACATCGCTGTTTAAAGGTGATGATGCACAAAAAGATTAGCCATAAAAACATGTCTCATCTTTGATTTGTTCAGATTAGCATGTGTGTGTGTGTCCACTGACAACTGCATGTGTTAAAAATGTTTTCAAGGTTTAATCTTAGTTGTGACCTTCAATAAAAAGACAAAATCAGACGTCTTCTTCGTCTGATTTAATGAAGCTTCTGCGGCAACACTTTCAGAACAAACCTCATACAAGTATTTCTGTATTTAAACACTTCTCTTCCTCTGTAACAGGAGCTGTTTTCTTCTGTATTTTATTTTCACATATGCTGAAGAAAATCCTCTCAGACAGTGAACTGGTGGCGGCAGTTATGTTAAACTGTAGAGAGCGCTGTTCGCAGGTGTCATGCGATTTCTGAGGTGGGCTGAATCCTGACTCTTCACAGTCGAGACACAAAGTGCTGAAATAAACCACCAGAGGAGCATCGACACAGTCTACAGGTATCATCTTCTTTGTTTCCCAGTTAATTGTCACCTGGTTTTATGATGCAAGTTTTAACTAAAGTCTGAAATGTGGAAAACACGACTTCAAGAAAAAAAAAAAGTACTAAATTTACAGAAGTGTTCTGTTGTCCCAAACTAATGAGACATTTGAGTCGTTATCTGAGAAAGCAAACTGATCTGGATCTAGAGATGATGTTATAAATAACATTTGGAGAGGAGGAAAACTCAAAACAAAGCAGCAATCTCAGCTTCCACAAATGTGAAACTGCTTTATTGACTGTTTTCAATGGTTATAATCACAGTGTCTGTTTGATTTCCTCATCAGTCTGATTAGAAATGTTTGTACCAGCTTTGTGGACCTCGATGTGGAATATTTGCTCAGTGTTTCTCTCAGATTTGTTGGGGTTCGGTTAAACTTTGTGGTGAGCAGTGATGGACCAGTTTCTTCAAGTCCACCCACAGAGATCAGGGATTTCAGTCACAGCTCAAGGATATTTAACTTCCTGTCCTTAAGCTTCCTGCTGTTCTCCAGCAGCGACGGCCTCCCTTTGTGGACCAGCTGACTGATTCCACCGAGCCTCGTGTCTCTGTGTCACTGAATTAAGATTGAAGCTAAAATGAAAAAAGATTGTTTTACTGAGACAAAGACGGAGGAGTTACAGACCGACTGTCTCCCAGGTGTCTTCCCTCTGCTTCAGAGTTAGTTTATAACACCAGAGCAGCTCAAAGTGAATTATTGTTCATTAAAAACTATTTAGGAATCTGTCATAAGTACATCATAAGCGTCCGCTTCATGTCGTCCTTCATGAAGACCCTAAAGTGGCTGAGGTGGCGGTTTTGGAGCCTAAATTTGACTTTATGTTGGAGACTAAATCTCCTATTTTGTAACTTGAACATGTGAAGAGAAACACTGACATAATTCAGTGTCAGTCGTGTCTAAACATAGCGTCCCGTCTTCACCTCCTACTCCTCTCGGTCTTAATAAGGCAGCTGTTGGTCTAAACGTCCGTTCGGCTCTGGAAACCGGTTTGAGCTGCACTGCGGAGCCCCCGCACCGTCTCACCAGATCAGCTTTCATAGCCGACCCGAGCGCCTTGTGTCTAAAACCGCTGACAGGAGAAGGTCTTTTTTTAAGCCTCCAGTATTTCTGTCTTCTGCTTCGTGGAAGTTCAGACTGTGTTAAAGGTGTTCAGGCTGCAGGGAGATGTCAGACTCTGTCAGTCAGAAAATAATCAACACACAAACACCATCAAGTCAGGAGTCCTCAGACTGTTGAGAGACTTTAGCAGAAACGAGAGAACACATAGGTCAGTGTCTGAACTCCACTCATCAGGATGAACCGCTGTCGTGTTTCACAGAGTCCGTGTCAAACTGTTTTCCAGAGAAGCAGCAGTTTTATGAGGCTGAGTCCTGAGTGGTTCAAGACGAGCACCATGTGACCACAACGGTTCTGGTTCGATTTCAGCTGCGAACCTTTGTGGCATGATAGGCCAGCATGTTCTCTCTCCCTGAGCACTTCATACAGTCAGGCAGCAAAACCAAAAACAGCAGTTAAACTAGAAATACCGCCTCACGGTTTTGCATAAAGTATGTCTCCGCCAAAACACTTTTTGTGCTCTCGAGATATAGTGTTTGAAGGCCAAAATCGTGCTTTGCGTGGTAATCGTGACCTTGACCTTCAACCTTCAACCACCAAAATCTAATCAGTCTGTCCTTGAGTCCAATTGTACATTTGTGCCAAATTTGAAGAAGTTACATCAAGCCGTTATTGAGATATGGTGCTCACGAGAATGGGATCTACATATCCACGGACAACCCGAAAACAATATGCCTCTGGCTCTGCCTGGAGTCTGTTGAACTCTCTGTTCATTGTTGGGTTTGTTTGTTCAATCAGTTTGTAGAAGTCTTAAGTGCGACACACACCAGACACACCGTACTGATAGAGTAGATAAGGTCAAGGGGTCGTCCAATATCAATCATTTTTCCAATTATCAGTATCGTTAATTGTCTGATCTGATCACTGGTAAATATGCGCTCCTCCGGCTCTGATGCAGCCGCCTCCTCCTGAAAGATAAACAGCTCCTGGTCTGGTTCAGTATCAGTCTCCCACCTGCACCGTTATTTACTATACTGCTGTTAAGAAGACGTCTCGTTAAGCCGGCTTTGCCTGTTCACACTGAACATTTGAGGCAAAACACTATAAACAAATTTAAAGATGCATTTGACTGACAGCATTATTTATTTATTTATTTATCAAATTTTCTATATATATGGTGATAATATTGTTATTGTGAATTCTTTTGGCCCCAATAACAGATAACAGATTCTCCCCACTACATCCCAAACAACCCAGTAACCATGGAGACAGATCAGCTGTTTGTCATGACGCTGGTTTTATTGCCATTGGTTTAGTCGTTGGTGAACGAGCACAGTGATCACAGTGGTTTACAGCATGGAGACCCTCGCAGGGGTCAAAGGTCAATGAAACACAGGCGACATCATCGGGGCCCAGAGTTAACTCTTTCATCATCAACTCCGCAGAGTCTTTGGCCGGTGGCTCGTTAACGTCGAGCCCCGAGGGTCGTTACTATCGTTAACACAGCTACTAGTTCATTAAGCTACTTATCACCTAATCGATTGTCTAATCTACAGTTATGGATGGAAGACTGCGGTTTACAGGAAGTCATAGAGACACAGTTACAATAAAATGACCGACACTGGGATGAATGAGGTTACCATGTGGTTCAGTTTGGGCGGGAAACACAGACACGGCTTCAGCTTCGACATTTTCAAACCAGCGCAACTGAAGAATAACGATCACAAAAACCTTTTAGTCTCAGCACCAAACTGAGAAGATTTCAAGATAAAATGTCAGAACAGGAAATAAATAGATGAAAAATCTGAAATAATAAAAATAAAAACTCTCAACAGAATTTCTTTATCAGATTTTAGTGGTAAAGTTTCGAATACTTTTATCTTGTCTTTTATCTTCAGTTTTGTCAGATGTTTCTTTGTTTATCGGGATTTTTCCATGTCTGACACTGTTTACATTTAGTCTCATTGTCCAACTAACAACTGGTTAGTTACTGAAGAACGGTTACCTAACATGAAACTATTTTACCTACTAAAATAAACAATTAACTAACCTAAGCTCTTTAACTGCCAACCTTAACCAGACTCTTTAATGTGATTTAATAGGAAAAGGGGCAGAAAGACACTGTTGAGGAGCTAAAAGAGGCTTAAAAAAACACTTTACAGCTACGTTAGTGACAACTATGATGGACACTTTTCACACTATAGACTAAATTTGATCAATATGTAATGTAATGTATTGATTAACATTTGTGTAGCTGCAAACACCTCAGCTGCATTTTGACAATTTTTTTTGCTAATGTTTACAACTGTTTTTCCAACGTTGTCAACGATTACAACAATGAAACAATGAAAACAATCATTATTGCTAATTCAGATGTCAATTCTGATTCATTAAATTCCAGTTAAGCTTGTGAGAGTTTTTATTTTAGCATGATTTCATTTTTCATCTACTTATTTTAGCTCAGCAGGAACTCTTCCTATAACAAATGTAATTTCGTTAACATGTTCTAATCCTTTTGTTGCAGTAGCAGCGGCGACATTTTCCCGCTCATCATCCGCTCTGTACGGCAAGCCTGAGGCGGCTCGCTCTCTGTTTCCTGCCCAAACACGATGGGATTCCCACTGGAGGAGAGCGCCTCCTGCTGGTTCCACTGCTACAACATCATCTCAAAAAAACATCAAGGTAAGAAAGTTATTTCATTTGATGATCAAAGATTTTGGTTGTTTATGAGGAGCACCAGTGACATGTTGTACCCAGAAAACAACAGCGGTGACAAGAAATTAAAAGAAACAAATAAAAAAAAAATCATCTTTTTCTTCATTTCCTTTTTTATTGTTCTCTGTTTATTTGGAGGTTAAAAAACATTTTGGCAAATGTTTTTGGCTATGAAAATGAAATCATTTTCAAAAACAATCTAAAAAATAATCTACGTTAAAACGAAGCTGAATAAAAGAAAAATCTCTTAATAACTTTAAAAGCTCTGCTGTGAGTGAGTCCGTTCTGTGCTGGTCTGAGAGCAGCAGGAGGTTTTTTTAGAAACAAAGTTGAGATGTTTTTTTGGGAAGCAGACGCTCTCCACTGAAGGAAACCCGCTGACAGTGAAGTTTGTTCGACAGTATCGATTATCAAAACCTGCAGAGGACGGTCAGAACAAACAGACGCCGTTTGTTTTTACAGTTTCAGGTTCTAAATGTTTTTCCCCTTCACCCACTTTTCCTTTTGGCAGCAAAACCCTGATCCAGTCTGATCTGAGGTTTCTCAGTCGGGGAAGCCAAATGGTGCATCGTCATCAGAGTTTGAATGTTTGACCGTTCATCTGAAAACACACAGACTGGAGCTTGACTCTGTGCATAGCATGTTCAGTTTACGCCATGGATGTATGAAGAACTTGTGGCCACTTGTGGTACTGCAACTAAAACAGTCCAAAAGTATTTTTTCCCGTAGACCACCATTTTAAAAGAGACGTCTGTAAAACTGTTGGCAGGACATCTCCAACTACAAATAAGCTTAATATTCTTATTGTTATGAAATTTTAAAATTTGAAGGTCTTTTGTTTGTTGAACTTTCCCAGATCTTAGAAAAGTGATTTTTATGTGTATAAGGCCCCATCCAGTTCTTCTAATATAATAATCCATAATTCACACAACCAGTCATCTGACATCACTCTGACATCACTCTGTGAACTGTCTGTTGGTCAGTGTTAGAGACAGACTGATGATGAGTTCACTCAGCATTAAACTCTGATGCTGATTTTTCCAGCAGTAACACAACATGATCATTTTAAATGTGTGTGGCTGAGGTTTAGGGACAATAGCAAAGTTAAAATATTTTGAGACAAAAGCTGTAATGTTACAACAAAACGTGTTATATTTTAATATTAATAAAAAGAGAAGCTGCTTTATGAACAAAATGCATGATTGGATTGCATCAATTGTTTCATGGCATTTTAAAATATTACATTTTAATCTTAAAATATTACATCATATTTTAAAGTTAAGGATACATTAGAAAAGTAAAGTTGCAACATTTATTTTATTTTACTTTTTGTTTCTCTGGAGCAGCAGAAAAACATATCTGATATTTTATGTTAACATGGAGTGGAGCAGCTTTAAAAAATGAATTTGATTTTTTTTTTGAAGGAATGAGTGTTTGTATCTACATCTACAGTATAAATGGGTGTTAATTATTTTATTAATTATGAAATACTTAATTTTAGTAATGAAATTCCCTCATCAGTCTGTCTCTAGTCTGAGTGAGAATAAGAACCATCTTTAAAGATAATCAGTGTAAACAGTAGAGGGCGTGTGTGTGTGTGTGTGTGTGTGTGTGTGTGTGTGTGTGTGTGTGTGTGTGTGTGTGTGTGTGTGTGTGTGTGTATACAGTGTTGTCGACAGTTTCACAGCAGTGTGCCGTGTTTTTTGTTTGTTTGTTTTTTTGTAGACTGAATGTGATTTTCCGCTCAGTGTCAGTGATCTGCATGTCATAGTTTTGGATAAAAGATACTGTCTCAACATGTTTGTTGTATTTTTTTTGGCAGAAGAGCACAAAGACAAAATGACATGAAACAACATCAGTTTGGTAATGTACACGTTCATTTTTTCAAGTTGTTTTTTTTTCATATTTTCTTTTGTGTTAAATGGCTGCAGATTTTTTTCATCTTTTCCACCCTCTGACCCTCCCAGGCTCCCGTCCAAAGACCAGACATGAACATTTAAAAAACAGTAATGTTACAACATCGCTTAAAAAACAAACAAAAAAAGATTCTATGTTTAAAATGTCAGTTTTAAATGTTGTTTCTATAAAATACTGCCTCGGGTTAGTTTCATTAGTGAGATAAAAGGAAACATCAGTGGCACTTGAGTCACATGACTGTGACCTCTACAACATGTGATCTGCAGCCCCATCAGCCACATCAGCTCCAATGCAGAGCTACAACTAATGAGGATTTCATCCTTAATTAGTCTGATTTTTAGTTTAACACATTAATGGTTCAGTGAAAACTATAACAGCAAATTTAGAAGAGATTCTTCAACTGTTTTTTTTTCTGAACAAATGTTAATAAAAAAAAAAAAAGTGATTCAATTTAAATTGTAAAAGTAGTGAAGAAATCAGCTGGAGAAATAATATTTCAGTTTTATTTGAGTTTATATTTTGGACAGCTGACAGAATCACTGACTGGCTCTGAAACATATGAAACCAGGGTCAGTTTAAATTAAATCAGAATTTGGTTTTAAACTTTAATCGTCTGTGTAATCAGGACAGCGACTAGCAGACAGGGTTCACTGGGTCTTATTTTGGAAACATGGACTCTATACCCCATGTAAATCAATTTACCACCATCATCAAGGTGTTTTTCGGTGTGTGGATGTGACTGCTGTCTCAAAGCTCCCACTGAATGCTTAGATATGTAGTAGTTTTTCTGCTGCATGTTGATCTGTCCAGGTGGACCAGCTCACCTTATTGAGGTAGCTGTAGCTCTAGTACTGTGTCTATGTTCAGATGGTGGTGAGTGGTTTGTTCTGCCTGGTTCAGCTTCAGCTTCACTTCTCAGACACAGAGACTGAAACAGCGGAGTCACAGTCTTCACGTTTAAACATCAATTTAACTTAATTGTGCAAATTAATTCTGTCAAATCAGACTAGCAGGTTCATTTTTCTTGGCAGAGATGATAATAAAGTAAGAATCTGAGCCGTGGGGGGTCTGAGGGAAAAACACTGATATTCATTAAAACACACAAAAGAAAAAAAAAGAAGCTAAAATCATCTAAAGCTAAAACTCTCAAACAGTTGAGCACTTTGAGAATAAGAAAGAAAAAAAAAAAAAGAGATTCCCTTTCGAAGTGTGTTCAGAGCCACACAAAGCCTCGACAGCCTTAACATCACTGCATCGCAGCAAACCCACCAAAATAAAAGCCACGCCCCTTTGCTGTTTGTTCACGTTAGCCGGTCAGACGCTGTTTAAAGGCCTCACTACACCAATACAGTTTAATTCAAAATGAATACAGAGCCACAAAAAAGTGACACATTTTAGTTCCAGTTTTACAGTTTTAGTTCATTTTTTAAACAGTTACTGCTGTTGGTGCCAGATTTTTTTTTATTGCTTCCTGCATGTCAGATTTTCAGTTTATCAAATTTTTACAGATGCTGGAGAACCTTTAAAGCTGCAACATGAAACAGGGACGAAGAGGGAAACGTTTCCAGAAACGCTTCCCACAATCCCCTCCTGCTAGCAGCCGCCAACGTCGCTGACAAAACATTTGCATAAAAAGCTAAAAGAAGTTTTATTTTGAAAGTCTGAATGAGAAGTGAGGTAGCCTGAAGCTCGACTTGGTCGCAGCCGGTGTCGTTTGGTGCGGCTTGTTGCTCGTCATCACCGGCTACACGTGAACAATCATCAACATCATCATCATCATCACATTTACATACTGCATCAAATATAGATAACACACAAAGATATTCAATATATATATTTGTCATACTGTATGTATCAGCAAAATAAAAGCCTCCACAAAATAAATCTCTGATTCATTTTACAATATGTAAAACAAAACACGATCTCTAACACGATTCTTTTCAAAGTGCTAGCAACATTATTTTACAACAATGTGCAAATGTATGTAGTTTAATATATCTTACATTCGAATCATTATGTTTCCCCGTGACAGGTGGATAGTGAGTGGTTGCTAGGAGACAGAGTTGTAGACACGCCCCCACAGACTGCTGATTAGTGGGATGTAAACCAGAGCCATACACAGGACGTCCTGTAGGGCTCTGGGTTTGGCTAGTCAACCGTATGGGCTCTAGAGTTAAGACAACGACGTAAGGCAACGCTTGGCATCACGCTGAGTCCTCCAGCTCTCATCTCTCCACCAGCTGATCTGACTGCATGAAAACCTTCGTCTGTCAGCTGTCTGACAATAAACTGACAGTTAACTGCACATTACAATGAGTCATGTTCTGAGGCTGCTAACAAACATGGTGGTGGTCCGGTGAAGGTCCTGTTAGTAGATCTGGGAACTAGGGAGTAAAGAGGCTGATACAAGTGTCAGAAAATCTAATTACATTCAGCCAATTAAACTTAAGACTTAAAAATTTTTGTAAAGAGTGAACCCTTTTATGTATCTCCTCAGTGGAGCTAAAGGGGCTAAGTTTGGTAATGATGTCTGGACTGGATTTCCTTGGACAGAAAAGTTTAATTTTTACAGCTGGCATGAATTATCTGTCAGCATCATCGTACATGTATCAAACTGAATCAAGGACATGTTATTTTTGCTTTACTTTGTCATGACTAAGCGGACCAAATCTACTTGTAGGTCTTGGTTTCAGGGCCAGTTATTCAGTTAAAGCAAGTAACTGGTTTCATTAAGAAGGAAATCGGTTACTATAATAAAACTGAAAGTATCAGCTGTTCCTGAGGAGAGCGTGGTGTCTGGTGGGAGGAGCACAGCGTTAATGAGATTGACAAGACGAGGCAGAGAGGAGCGAATGGGTTGATATTGGCAGCCTTGAGCCCTGGTCTGGGATCAGCCCTGCAGGGTGAGTATCGTTCCGTTTGGCACTTCAGTCAACCCGGGGGACGCAGAACGAAGCCCGACCTCTGACCTGATTCTCACACAAGCCTGAACCTCCTCATGAGGAGGTCAAATCCAGAACATGAAGGGGTTAAAGGTCAGATCCAGTGAGATTTCAGACTCTGCTCAACAGTTTAACAGATTTTTATTTGATGTTTTTTTTTGTTGTTTTTTTTTAATCTGATTGGTTGTTTCAATTTTATTTTGAAGTGTTAGATCAGATTGGATTTACTGGGTGAGACTGTGGTTTTTCAGTGGGATGACTGGAATGTGTCAGGTTCTCTTCCTGAGCCTGATAACTAAGGTGATCCATCAGCTGAGGGAAACTATGCGATGTAGCTGCAACCTCGGCCTGAATATAGCGATGGAAAGTGACTGAATCGATCAACCAACCACCACTTCTATGTAAATTATAAGAAGTTGAAACTACATAATGTTTGGCCTTTTTATTCGATAAATAACTCATAACCAATTATTCAATTATCAAAATAGTTGCCAGTTCATTTGAAGCTCTGGCTCTTGAGTTGAGATTGTTTTGCTTCTGTTTGTTTGCATTCAGAGGAAACCACAAACTGGCAAACTTGAGGGGTGAGAAAGTCCAAGAATTGTGGTTGAAAGCTTCAGGAAGTTGGACTGGCTGAATTCTCACTGGAACCTTCCTCCTAACATCAGATCTATTGTTGTCTGAGTGAATCAAACCTCCGTGTGACTGTGGAAAACAGATCGGAGGTCAGCGGTCCGGGACCACATGCTGCCCAGGAGTCAGGACTGTTCTGGGATCAGTAGTAGGAGCTGGTGATTCACAGTATTTATCTTGAGAACCAGATAGAAACGAGCTGCGCTGAAGACCAAAGCATTTCAGTCTGACAGAGACTTCAGTCCTGATTAGGGTTTAGGATCTAGATCAATAACAAGCTTCAACAATCAGAGTGTCACATAAAGTGCTCACAAAGGCTCGTTCAGAAGCAGGACAGTCTGATGATGCCTTCAGGGCTCACTGAGCTCAGTTCGGCTTCCTGGCAGCATAGTGCGTTCATGGACCGCTGGTTGCCCCGAAACAGGAATTGTTTTGTGTTTTTAACACTTCAGTCCTGTTGCCAATTCTCTAATAAAATGCCACATTAAAGTAGCAGAGATCTCTCAAAGTGTATTTCACAGTTTTCAGGGGAAAAACTGAAATCCAGAAAATTTGCTATTAAGGTACTGATTAGAGGAACTGAACCCATCTTTTCCTACCCCTTTCATTTGACCACAAGACTGAAGATCAGACCAGTCTGTCATTTTTAATTCCTGTTACGAAGCAAATGACCTCTTGGTAATTTCTGGGGGTCAGTCAGTCTGTCTGTCTAGAATTCTGTCTTAATGAACGGCCATTACACACACACACACACACAGTGATTTAAAGTCTCCAAAATTTCACCAACAACTTTAGACTCTAATTTTGCAAAACTGCAGCTGAATGAAAAAAGGTGCACACACCAGTCCCAGTGTTGATGTTTTATATTGTCAGTGTGATGAAATATTGACAGGCGGTGTGTTTGTGTGTTTGTGTGTGTGTGCGTGCGTGTGTGTGTGTAATGGCTGTCTGTCAGGTTTGTGTGTGATCCAGCCCGCCCACCCCAAGACAAGATTGCACTGATACCTTTAATCTAAGATGGAGGAAGCCCAACAACCTCTGACTTGACGGGAGACGTTCAGCAGCTTTTTGAACACAGTGAGATTCCAACAGTAAGAAAATCTTACCAGTGTTCTTCTTCAGCCCCTCCAGGGTTTGACATGTTGTCAAAGATATTTTCTTTATTGAGAACCAGAGGAATCAGAGCCCTTCATCATCAATCAGAGGGATCTGCTGGTTTTAATGACACATTTTGTTGTTGGTGTAATGATAAAAACCTCCTGGAGGAGCTGCTTCCCTTATTCCTTTATTCCTTTACAGGTATGAAGAAACCCTGCAGCTTTGGTGTGCCTGGTGATATCTGGAGGAGCTGAAGAAACCAACCAATCATCAATCAGTTCCTCCAAAGGAGACGCAATGATTGATCCTTTCAAGAGTCTATTCTGGGGCCTAGTACCGGGGGAGGTAAATCTGAAGGTGGAGGTCATGGTAGCGAGGTGTCAGCGATCTTGTCGTAGGTGGGATGGATGGAGATGGAGCTTACAGCCTACATGACGCTCTCAAAGATGATGACCTTGTTGTCATCTGTGCCGGGGGACAGCGAGGTCAGGGACTTGATGTCTGGGGCCATGTACTCCAGGTGATGGGCCCCCCACACTGGACTGGTCAGGTGGGCCCAGCGCTGCGAGACACAGCAGGAAATATCAGTGGTCATGCAGACAAGTAGTCATGTGATTTCAGAGACTGATTGGTTAAAGACTAACCCGAGATCAGTTTATCAGTGAGGGATTGACGTGGACTGGGTTGTACCAGATATTAATACATTCTTTAGACTAAATCTAATAATTTACTACATCAAGTTTCTGATATAACAAATGTAACTATGTTATGACATACTTTTATCTCTATACTCAGGACTCTTTCCTATGTTTGGCCATACTATACTATGACAAATCTTTACTTCTGTACCTGGGACGTGTTCCTATGCTTGGACATACTATGCTATGATGAACGTATCTATAACATAAATGTATGTTATGAAAAATAATGTGCTATGTTTTTCTGCTACACTTGGGACACTTTAACATACTTTTCTATGACGTACTTAAAAATAACATAATATGCTATGGTATACCATAATATGACACAATATGCTTGACAAAGTTTTACTGCTATCTTTGGCCATACTATACTATATACTATACTACTATACTATACTATATATACAACTTGTGAACTTTTAATGCTATACTTGTCATACTTTACTATATGATATGACATACGACATTATGACAAAAACTTACTATGCTTGGGACACTTAACTGTGTTTGGCCATATTACATACTAAGACAAGGTTAACTAATACATACTGTGCTATGATATATTCTAATATGGCATGCTAGATTATAAAAAAAATTACTACCATACTTGGACATGCTATACTATGGTATATTTTACTGAAACAAAGTTTGAGTTCAGCCACATTTGGATTTGGTAACTCCTCAATCATTAGAGTTGCACTTTGGGCAGAGTCACAGGTTTAGAGTAGCTTCCCTCCACTGTAAAATCTAAATGTAAAGTTTCAGTGTTCTTTACAGACAACCTGCTGTTTCCTGGATGACTGGGCTGTGTTATGAGTTATGTTATCATTATCAGTCAGAAATGTTCAACCTCATCCTAAAAAATGTTTGTTTGATTTGAAAAACAGCATGTGAACTCATACTATCCCTTTAAAAAGGTAAAAAAATATTTGGTTTAGTTTTTATTTGATGACCTGTGTGCAGTGTGAAGGAGTGCTGACCTCTTTGAAGGTTCCCTTGGCTCTGAAGAGTTTGTAGAGAAGACTGACAGGGATGCAGAGCATGGAGGACATTGCCAGACACCAACCAATAACTTCGCCCCACCACGGGTACACATACACATTGTTGTAGGTCAGCGGCTTGTAGTTCACCAGGTGAAACATAAAGATGCCCTACAGAGGAGACAACAAAAGCGGGCATGGTGGAAAATTTCTTCAAGCCTAACACAGGAGTTTTTTTGGTAAAATACTACTACTAGTAGTAACTATAATAATACTAATATTAATAATAGCAATATCAATTTCTTGTGAATTTCTGTTGAAAATTATATTTCTTGAATTTAGACAATTCTTTTGGAAGCTGATGTTGTATCCCCGTAATTTAAATTGGTGAATATGGGAAATGTTGTGTTGAAAAATAACCATGAAATAATATAAATTGGTATGTATAAAATCCTGTCTGTTTATAATGTAAATTTCCATCACAAATACAATAAAGAATTGTGAAACCTATGGTGTGGCTGTGGTTTTATATCCTCTCTAATGGACTACTGGTGTTTAGTCTTACCATACAGACACATGGAGTTATAAAAGACCAGCACCACTTCATCCAGGGGAAAGGCCTATAGCCAATCATACGAGCTACATCATCCATGAAGCGGTCAGCACCTGAAAAAGAATAATCGTCAATCAATGAGAATCACGAAAATACATCACTGACGCACGACACATTGACATTTAATGTTGTGTGCAAGCTAATTAGTGAACTCATTACATTTCAAACATTAGTATGATATACTTTAGTATGCCTTATGTATGACTTAAAATAAGTACAACGTTTTTTAACTTGCAATACTGTGACGTTTTTATGACATTTTATGCCTTACTATACTATGACGTTTTATGACTTTTTATGACTTTCATGCCTTACTATACTATGACGTTTTATGACTTTTTATGCCTTACTATACTATGACGTTTTTATGACTTTTCATGCCTTACTATACTATGACGTTTTATGACTTTTTATGCCTTACTATACTATGACTTTTTATTAATTTTTATTCCTTATTATACTATGACTTTTTATGCCTTACTATACTATGACTTTTTATGCCTTACTATACTTTGACGTTTTTATGACTTTTTATGCCTTACTATACTATGACGTTTTTATGACTTTTTATGCCTTACTATACTATGAC